AAAACCTTGCCATCGGCAAGACACTCTCGAGTTGACGTGTCAACTAAATCCAAAGTTGATCTGATTGGTCATGTAACTTGGTGGAGCTTGTCGTCAATATTTTGGACCAAAAACAACAGTCTGGATATCTGCAAGATGCAAAGTATGCTTGTGCGGTCCGAGGCGGTATTTCGTCAAGGTGCGAGTGACAACACAGCAAAACTGGATGAACTTGGCTCAGTTCGTGTGAATGCTTGGGCTCTGGTCAGAACAGCAGGCGAGAGCCCCAGCGCTGGCGGACAACGTTTCAAACCGATCACGAGCGCACGCTTGCACCATGCAGACCATACAGAAAGCAACGCTCAAAAAAAGCAAAAGGAATAGAGTTTCTCTAACACTGTAATTCAAAATACGCCACCATATACATAATCTCTGAACTTCACGAGTCAGCAAAGTCCTAACCTCAAGACCCTGAAACCTGCAACCCTTTGAATGAACACCAAAACCTAAACAAACAACAAACCCGAAACTCTGAAGTCCTACCCTTTCGAAGTCATGGACAGTGCAAATCCAGGAGCCATGATGTTCGTCTGGTAGGAGACAGGGGACAAGACCTGAACCGTTGGCTTGGGCTTTCGAGTTTTGGATGTACGGTCTTAAGGTGCAGAGAGTTTAAGTTGCACGAACCCTAGAGGCGGACTTATGCTGACGCCGACGGGTATTTAGGGTTTCACAAGGCCTGGCAACAGAGATGCCCCGGCTGAAACCGTCGCAACTGTCTACAGTCTACAGCTACATATACACCTCGCAGCCCAAGAAGAGCCCCAAACCCAATACGTACGCACACTCACAATAAAGAACAAAAAGTCATAAACTGCGATGACCCAACTCATGTTGGGTGGAAACCCAACTGCCTTCATAACAAATGTAAGACTTGAACTCGGAAGACCCGACAGCGCTGAATCCTCAACTCTATCCTCGAAACAACTATAAAGCCCTAATGCCGCCACGACTTAAATGCCACACATCTTGCGCTGGGGAGACCATTTTATGATTTGCCGGCCCTTTCAGGTGCAGCCACAGGTAGAACTTTGCGCTGACCACCAACTTTTGAAATTGCCCCGGGTCCCGGAAACAACTGCATGACTTCACACCTTGACAGCCGCAAACTCTGAGATCTAGAAACTATGTGCACGCTCTGAGCCCGAAAAACCCTTCGAAACAATGCTGGAGCCTGGCAGGCAGCCCCCATCATTAAGACGGCCATGGCCTGCAAATAAACGAGTTTAGGGTATGTATAGAGTTGCGGTTAGATTACCGGCTGTCGGTGCACTTGTAGTATACCGTTGCGAGTCTGTTGATTGCGGTGTGATTCTGATCATCACTTGCTTCTCACACTACGTTTGCCATCGCTATAAATATGGCTAGTATTCATGACACTGTCCAAAGTACAGGATTTAGGCCTCCGTATTTTGCATGCCGGGATGTACTTCTTGTAGTTGCAACCCTGCCCAACCCTCCCCGCCCTACCCCTTTGGAATAGCACTTTCAACCCAGCAACTCGAGGCAATTCAACAAGATCCTGGCCGGGAGACCTGGGCATGAGCCCTGAAACCCACAGCTCAGAACTCCAATATAAAAGCTTTAGACTAGTAACTAGCATCTACACTCTACATTTTGAACCGAAAGCCCTAAACACCAAGCCTCTCTAAATTCTATGATCAATCTTCAACCTGTGGTGGAGAATGAACCTAGAGATGAATTCGCAAATCTCTGAAGGCTTCGGATTTTTGTCGACGAACCCAGCGAACTTCGTGCCCCCCATAGACCATAGATTTCTTATGGGGTGTTTGTTCACGCTTTAGGATTTAGGCTGCAGGGTATGATTGCCCCCTTTCCATGTCGTTCATGGGTTCGACTGGGCCCGGCAGCTTAGAGCGCAGGTGTTTGTTTGTCCTGGACCGCGCTTCAGTTCGGCCTGTAGCGGTTCAGGAGAACTTGAATTTTCGAGCGTGGCCTGAAATCTAGTGCATGACTACCCTCCAGCCATAGACGTGCAAACTCCAATCCCTCTCTATCCAAGGCCTGATGTAGGGGCACCGGCACCTCCAACAACAAGGAAAGCACAATTGGGGTGAATGAGGATCTTGGGCGCAAGTGTTTCAAATCAAAAGATCCCACTTGGAGACCTGTAGCACTGTAGTGGTTGATCTGTTGTTGGAAAAGCGCTGTGTATAATTGGCACTGAATGCCCCCAATTTGCCTGGCCTAAATCGTAAAACTCGAACCCGGATACCGGTTATCAAGGAACACAGTTACTAAATACCCATGCTCATGTCTTATACCTCGGTGTCAGGATAGATTCTGGAGGCGGTTCAACAACGCAACTAGTATGGCAGCCTCCAGATTTTGCAAGGTTGCCCGTTCATAATGGGCTTGCAACGGCGCAAAAGAATCCATAGTTATGTCATACTGTCATACTTCTACCAAGGCCAAACTTTACGGAAAGGTACGCTGTGGGGCCCCTGTTTTTTCGCACATAAGGTTTTGCGAAGCTTTGTGGGTTGTCGCTTGAAATTTCCATGCTGGAACTTTTCCTAACGAACAATGGCTTAACATGTATTATAAAATGTAGTGCAAACAAATCAATAACATAATTTCAAAGGGTGCGGTGTTTGAGTATCAGGGCCAGTGCCGTAGGACGGGAGGCCTCCAGTCAGCCCCAGAGGGTCCAAACAAACAATTTTAAAACAATCTGGCCGTCCGGGTTCGGAGCCAATATATATATATATATATATATATATGTGTATATATATATATATATTTATTTATATATATTATATATATATATACTGTATGTATATATATATATATATATATATATGTTGTTTTTGGCCCCCCCCATCCCTGATATAACAAATAGTCGGAAGATACCGTCGGCCCGTTTTGTTATTCTATCAGAAGCCACAGCCTGTTACATAGAAGCCATGCAGACATGCGTATAGTAATGTACTTTATATGATAGGAATGCAACCCTACATTCAGTTTAGAAGTTAAGATGCCAAGCTGGTCCCCAACAGTAGTGTTAACAAAAGCTACAAAGATGGTTGGCCAAGACTGTGGCATTGATTTACATAAGATTGACATACTTGTTGACGTGCAAGTTCCATAAGCAATGACATTTTCTTTATATAGTTGAATGAAACACGGTACACCACATGCAAAGACATGGCTCTAAGCTATCATATGTGGCGGTATGTGGAGACCACATCTTCTGGACTCACTGCGGGGATACTTCAAACTGTTGTGGCACGAATACGTATGTTCCTTCATCATCCTTGCTTGTTATCAACATAGTTAAATCTTTTCGATTTCGAGCGATTGCCGCACAAATGCTTGCAAGGTATAAGATCTAGTATGTGGAATGTCGAAAACCAATGCAATACGAATTGATCTGGAGCTGAGTGCAGTGCATTTACAAGTGTTATACCACCCTGCTATTTCAAAAGCGATTTCCGTTCTACAACATTCATGCGAAAATGCTGCACATAGGGGGGGGCCCCAGGGCGTTCCACTCTCAAACTTTAACGGCCTAGGCTCCTCTCCTCGACGTTTCTTTTCAGAGCCCTCAGTTCAGTTATGCTGCGAACCATAAGCGTACAGACACAATCGTAGTGCAAGGATCCTGCATCCCTCTGCAACACTCAGCTCGGAATCTTGCAAATTGAAACGGAAAGAAAAAGCAGATAAGCTAAGATCCTGAAACCCCAGGCTCTGAATCCGCTATTCCCGATCATATAACTTCGGCAATTCCACGTGTTTGCGTGATACTTAGGGCATTGGGCCGGTCCAACGTCGGGTCCTGTTCGGTTCACAGCTTACGGGATTAATGTGAGTGCTGAGGGTTTCGGGTCGGTTACGGCATCAAGAACATTGGCGCAAAGATGTCTAGAGACCCAAAGGACTCACTGTGGCGTTTGGATTTAGGCTTTGTTCGCTTGCATGCATCCTGCCACTTGGCACTGGAGCTGCTCAGCCCAACATGTTTTTTACAACTCACAGCTCCCATCCAGAAAGCTGAGAGACAATCTGCACATGCAGAATGTGAATGGAGATAAGACTTTGCAGATACAGTCACCAAAGTTCGGCCGAATCCGCTACTTCCCAAACCCAAGAAATTGTACCCTGCAGCCTCGAACAAGGCCCAAGGCACACACCCCTAGGCCTCAAACGACACTTGACCCGAGTCCCTGAGGCCTTAGGGCTTCAACTTGTAAAAGCAACCGCTAAACTCGGCACTCTTGTCAACTTCCGACAGGCATCCCATTGATTCCATGACCT